AAAATTATACTAACTTTAGAAATAAAACAAATGCTGATATAGATTAAATTATATTACCAAAAAAATACTTTAAAAGAATTGCCTGAATTGTTTTGTACTGTAAGAATTTTGCTGTATTCAACACTAAAATATAAGAACACTCTACAAGGTTCTTGAGACTCTTGCAGATGAATTTTCAAGTTAATGATATTTCCTGAGTCAAGATTTAACCCTTATGACGTGGTTCTAAATATTCATCCATCTCAATTAACAGACATATAAACCAACTATATTTTCAGACCCTTGAGGAAAGTGGAAACATTTCTGTATTAAAGGCACATTGTGGAAAATGGCTGTGGATACATTATTACTACTAACATCAGTGTTTACTTTTTAAGCATGGTGTTGTCATGAAGGGGCATAATCGTGACCACAGAAATCATGATAAAATGTGAAAAGGGAAGGCAGGGAAGGTGGCCCAGCAGAAGACGGAAAAGAAGTCTTCTGCTGTTTACACAAACATACTTTTATCGTTTATATATATATACTACAGAAGATTTGCTAAGCATTTACAGTATGGACAGAACAGTGGATTAATATTATTAACTAAGGTCTTAGGAATCTCAGTGTTTATCTTATTTTCATACAAAATTATTTTGGAAAAGATATCTTTAAGTCTATTACCATATCCAACTGAAAACTGCTCCAGTTTTATAGAATTCTATTCAAATATAATACTCCCTCTTAAAAAATCTGAAAATCAGGGGAAAAAAGTTACATGGAATAAAGGACTAAGGACAACTAACCTGTGAGCAAGGAAAGGAATAAAACAGTAAAAACCAGTAAAATAATACAGGTGAGAGAGGAGCGAGCCTACAATAAAGTGTCAGGAAAGCACTGGGAAAATCTCAGAGGTAAGTAAAAGGGGCAGGATTTGGTGACAGAGAGGCACAGTCTAGAATTGACTCCAAGCCGTGATTTCGAGACTGGTGGCTCGTGGTGGCACTAGCCTGGAATCATAGTGCAGAAGCTGCCAACTTGAGAGGGTTAGTCTGATGGGCTATAGTACGATGATGTCTCAAGCTCAGCAAAGAGTCTGTGCCTGATGTGTGGATTTGGGAACCACGAAACACACAGCACCGGCACCACGCTGCAGGGGATGCAGGAGACCTGAGGTCAGCCCCTCAGGGGCTCATCAACACCAAGTTGGACAGACGGAGAAGGAACTCGTGCACAGAAGGGGTCCTGAGAGGTACAGGAAGGTTACAGGGTCTCCCAGAAGTCAAGAGTGGAGTGCCAAGAAGGAGTGACAATCAACAACCTCAGCAGCGATGGGCAGCGAGCAGTAGAGCGTAACCTGAATGGAAAGGCAGAAGCACAAGTCAGACTGCAGCAGGACAGGACTGGAGATAAGGATGTAGACATCTTCTCTCCGATCTCTAAGAGATCTGCACTAGGCAGAGGAAAAGACAGGATCAAGGTATGGGCTTTTCTAATACAAGAAAATCTTCACCTGCTTACTTGGTAAGGGGCAGTGCAAATGGGGAGGGGGAGGCCAGGTCTCAGCAGAGGAAGGAGAAGGGGAATCCAGAGGAGAGAGGAAGTCACCTTGCAGAAGGCGGGCAGTCTCCTCTAGTCAGAAGCGAAGGAATTAAGAACGGGTAAGGCTACAAGTGAGTAGGTGCTCACAGAGAGGAGAGGAGGAGGGCTCAGAGAAATGCTACTTGAAGTCTTCTTTTCTCTCAGGCAGGAAGCAAGGTCATTTGCTGAAACAAAAGCAAACGGAGGGCAGGGATCACTGCAGGACTCATTAAGTAAGAAGAGGGAGCTGTCCAGGGGAACACAAAAGGAAAAGCAGGAGGCTCCAAAGGAAGATTCGGCCAAGACAGAAAAGGACACACTATAGGGACCCCCCCTCCACCCCACGTTGATGGGTTCTAATTTGCATCCTGCAGAACTTAGCAGCTTCAGTGGATGAGCAGGTAGGCCTCAGGTCTACGGCAGAGACTATGCTGTGCTTCCCCAAACACTGTTTCCTTTTCCTCCTGGGCATTCAGCTAGACTACATTTTCCAGGCCTCCCTGCAGTTGTTTGGAGCCCCGGCCCAGAGTTCTGGCCAATGGTCGGACCCCTCAAAACCCTCCCTCATGAGCCTCTGCCTACTCTAGCCTTGCTCCTCAGTGATGCAGAGGGCAGGGGGGGTGCCAAGGGCTAAGGATGGCAAGAACAAAAGCAGAGGTCCACAAAGGCCCTGTGCCAGAGAGTGCTCAGAGCAGCCTTATACATAATGGCCCAAAACTAGAAAGAACCCAGATGTCCACGAATGGGAGAAAGTGTTGTACATTCATACAATGGAATATAACTCAGCAATAAAAATGAACCAACTACGGATACATACAACGCGGAGGACTCTCCAAAACATACCGAGCAAAAGATGCCATACATAAAAGAAGAACTGTATGATTCTATCTACATAAAGTCCAAGAACAGGGAAAACTAATCTATAGTGGCAGAAACAGATCAGCTGTCAGGGGAAAGGGGATAAAGAACTTCCTGGGATTCTATATTCTTGCTTTGAATGGTGGTTACTGGTGTGTCTATACAATTAGCACATCTGACAATTAAGATTTGTGCATTTTGTAAGTAATACCTCAATTTTTTTTAAAAAGCTGGGATGCCACTTTCCACCAAATTGACAAAGGATTTTTTAAATCATCATATTCGATGATAAAAAAGGATGGTGAAAGAAGCACTTTCATATCCTGCAGGTAAATATGAAACTGCAACCTTTCACAAATTTCTTACACATATGTAAATATCTATCCTAAGAAAGTAATTAAAGAGACAAAGATCTATGTGTATGGATATTTTCCCATTATTTTACATAAATAACTGGAAAATCTAAAGTTCAACAATATAGTTTTTTAATGGTCATAACAAATTATAAAGCCATTAAAAATCAAATTTTCAAAGAATTTTAATGCCTTGGGAAAATGCTCACAATATGATTACATTTTTTTAAATTAAAATAGGTCACCAAACTTTATAATGCTGTGAGCCCAGGTATGTAAAAAAGAAAAAATTATGCAAATAGAACCTGAATGCAAGTTTCAGTTCCATTATTACTAACATGGCTTTGAAGAGTAATTCAACTTCCCCATCTGTAAAACAGCAATACCTAACACCCTGGGATGCTGGGAAGATCAAACAAAAATATCTAAGTGCTTTGAAAACATTAAAGCATAATATTAATGTTCATAGTTATTTTAAATTATTCACAATATTCTCATATTTAGATGCTTAACTTCCACTTTTCAATTAAGCACATTATGCCCAATATTATAAGGACATACTATATCTGAAACAAATGTAAATGTAATATCTCTTTTGGCTTACATGTAACTGGTGCACTGTTTGGGAAAACATGTAGAGAAAGACAGGGTTCAAATACTGACTAATGTGATTTTAGGCATGTAATGAACCTTGATTCTTCATCAGCAAAATAATTACTGCTCAATAAATAGTTGTTTTTCTATTATTACAGTATTCTGCTACTAAAGTTATTCATCTGCAGATTAACATCAGCTACCATTTATTAAACATATCATACACTAAACCTCCTAATCGCTCTGCAAATGGGTATTAATAGTCCCACTGTGTGGACCAGCTGAGGTTTCAGTAACTTAACCTCTGATGACTTACGAAAAAATTTCAATTCATATCAAATTTTAAAATGGAGAAGCGATGATTTGGAAAGTAGATTTAAAATGATTACATCAACATAAATGCTTCCATTTTCGCAAAAACCAGCAGAGAATTGCTCCTTCCCCAGATGTCATGCATCAT